GATCGAACCCACACACCCTGCACTGGAAGGCGAAGTCTTAACCACTGGACCTCCCGGGAAATCCCTAAAAGATATTTCTTATGTACAGGAATGTAATCCAAGTTACTAATTATGTACTTTTCCTTGACCTTTTATTTCTAAATAGAACCACTCTGTGGTGCATTTAAAATTCCTTGACCTGTCCTACATATTTATCCAGATCTCCTGTGAGACGTGCTTCCAGACATACAGCCTGTCATGTTTCTTTACCTCCTAGCATGATGTGTCACCAGCTTCCCCTTCCAAGTTTAAGAATCTTTTTCGCTACATGTAGAGAAACTGTGACTGCTTCCAAAATAAATAATTCCATAGAAATTTAAAAGCTCTCATAAATAATGGGATATATGATACAGCACACATTTGTTTGTCTACTGTAAATCTCAAGATATTCAAAATATAGCTCCTTTCAAATAAAAAATAAATTTAGGAGACATTTATGTGAGTTTTCCTTCCTGCCCAACATAAACATAGTTTAGGAGAATGTCAGGAACCTTTCACAGTATATCCTGAGAATTCGACATTTCTCATCAAATTGACTTCAGAACATAGTGTCTAAAAATTACGTTGCAGCAGTGACTTGGTGGAAGCACATACTCTTAATTTTTCTCTATACTTTTGCTCAAATGTCTTCAGATCCCTGGCTTATTCTTCAGTTATTCATTTCTGCAGGTGTTCATTTCTCTACACCTGTTAATATTTAGTTAACTGTGAAATCAGTGAGATTGAAGTAAACTGTGGTCCCAGATGTTAGTGGGAGCTCTGACAATATTTCTAATCCCCAACGTGCAAAATAATGAAGAGAAATATCCTCTTCTCAGCAATGGGTTCAGTTATTCTTCCCTGTCTGGTCCTGAATGGAGCAGTGGCTCTTGTGTACCACCATCTAGAACCTTTTCTTGCGGTACACGTGCATGTGCTGGGATGTAAAGGGCCGTCCTGGATTTAGGCGAGCTACATAATAAGATCCAGTTTCTCCTAGGTAACTGGTCTCTGCGTAATTCATATACCCAGTTAAATTATCAAAGGCAGTGATTTTTTTCTGTAAGGGATTTATGAGCCTATGCATCAAACAACTTTCTTTTCATTAGCAATTGATTTCACAATTATGCATTCTTAGAGAACTTTCTAGTCTTAAAATGCCTGTGTAAGAACCAGACCATCAGTTACAGTCTTAACCCCCTTTGAAAGTTGACATATGAAAAAAGAAGGTTAAGGTAGCGTTTGCTAACTTTAGCCTATAATCCATCTAGCGTAGAAAAACCTTGTCTTTGTTTAAAACTTAATGCAGTTGAGAAAAACTAAAGGTCTTAGAAGTTACAGATACTTTGTCAAAGTTACTTTGTATTCCCAGGACCTGGCCCTGTGTATGGTCCATAGCTGGCGCTCAGTAAAAGACATCGATGTTTGATTGTGTATCCTAGGGGCGCCTATAGGGAAAGGTGTTTAGAAAGTTAAGTCTCCACTGCTTGGTTGACAATGTACCTGGGCGGTTTTGACTGCAGTTCTTCCTCAGGAAAGTTCACAGTATCTGGGTAGCAATATCTGTATATATGTTTTTCACTCAGTGACCCCCATCATAACTTTCTCATCCTGCTGTAATTATCAGTTTACTTGTCCCACGGGGCGGGACACGGCCTTGGTCACAGTTGGGTTCCTGCCACATGGAGGGAAACATCGTGCCCATTTCCACTGACGACAAAATGGAGGTTCGGAGAGGGTGGGTGACTATTCCTCAGAGACCAGCTCCGAAAGCTCGGATTGAATTCTGAGTGTCCTCCAGGTGACGGCCACGTGGCGTCCAAGTCCCTCTTCTGTGTTTGCTTCAGGGAAGCAGACATGGGTGGAGAATCCACCGCGTGTTTCAAACGTGTTGGTATTGTCCTCTGCACCTTGATGAGAACCCACAACACATGTGGTAACACACTGTTCCTAATCGATTGGCGGGGAACAGTTCTTCCCCCCCCCTCTCCCCATCCCCCCCTCCTCTCTGCACCTACTCTGTGCCAAACATCGGCCCAGGTATTTCTTTACTTTCCTCAGTGAACTAAAGGTTTATAGCGAGGGCACCCTTTCTTCTGCCAGAACGAGCCTTCTCTTCCTCCTGGAAAACTCCTTCTCATCCTTGTGTACCCGGCTGCAGAGCCCCTTCTCCACGAGGCTTTCCCGTCCCCTAGCTGGGGTTGCTGCCTCTCCATTTAGGAGCACCAGACCCCTAGGGCTTTGCTCTAGCCCAGCGGCACTAACAGCACTGCTCTGGTTTATCACGCTGTGTGTCTGTCGACCGAGCCTGAAGGGGAACGATTTGATTGCTCTTCTTGCTTCCTCCTTTTCCCCCTTCTTGCCCCTTAAAGGGGAGCCCGCAGCTGTGCAGAGAGAGCTCCTCACCCAGTCAGCTGCCGCCAGGGCCTGTAGTTCTAAGCGGTAGGGAGGATCCGGGAGTGGGTCTTCTAAACTAGTGTTACCGGTTCTTGCTTAAAAGCCTGACAGCAGCAGCCCTTCTGCTGAGGTTGTTCTAAGCGCCTTTGCGCTTCCGGACACCACAGCTCTCCACTCCCAACTCCACACACACACGCACACACACACGCGCGTGCGTGTGCGCGCGCACACGTGCTCGCACTGTAGCAGTGGAGTTCCCAGGTGATTGTGTCACATGTGGAAGAGAGGTTATGTTCCCACTTGAAAAATAACAGTTACAAGCGTGACATAGAAGGTTTCAGAGCTACGGCAGCAGAGCAAGGACTGCATGGCCAAACCATGGGCTTTGAGGTCAAAGACATTTCTTAACATTAAATGTGTTTGTTGAAAATAAATAAAAGCACTAGATTATTTCTCTGCCTTTTCACCTTCAAATAGCTAAACATATCCCATGTTTCGGGAGATGTCTACATTCATAGTAATTTGGAAATAATACTGTTAGTGGATTGAAAGGTCTTTGGCAATACACGTATCAAGAAACTCTCTTTTTAGGGATTTCCGCTATGGTTTTTGACACCAAGGACAGCTAAACAGGTGCACCACTGCAATAAAAGGAATGGTTCTTGTTTGGGGTAACCAGCCACGCAGTGAAAAATTAAGGTGCTCTAAAAGGCTCTGGTAACTTCATATCGTGCCAATGTGTTTACGCTGTCAGCTCGATGAAAGCAGCCACCTGAGGCAAGTCACGTACCTCCATGTCATCCAGAGACCTGAGATTTCCTATGCACAGCAAACCTGGACCATCCATGCTACACCTGACCGAGGATCCAAGGGTCCAGGACCCCTTTCTGCCTGAGGGAAAGGGAGCTTGTCGCCCCTGTTGTATTTTTGGTCAAATCAGTGAGTTTAGTTGTATAACCATGGGTTTTCCATCTTCTTAAATTCTGTATATGTTGAGGTGTTTATTAGCTCAGTTGATCTCAGGTGGATGGACTTACTTTAAAATTTCATGAAAGGTACTGGGTGAGGTAAGTCAGGCAGAGAAAGACAAATACGATATCACTTGTATGTGGAATCTAAAAAATAATACAAATGAATCTATATACAAGACAAACAGACTCATAGGCAGAGAAAGCAAACTTACGGTTACCAAAGGGGAAAATGGGCGGGGGGGATAAATTGGGAGTTTGGGATTATCAGATATACACCACTATATATAAAATAGATAATAAGAATTTACTGCATACGCAGGGAACTATATTCATAATCTTGTAATAACCTACAACGGAAAAGAGTATGAAAAACTATAACTGAATCACTTTGCTCTACACCTGAAACTAACACAATACTGTAAATCAACTCTAATTAAAAATAAGAGTGGATATATATGTATGTGTATAACTGATTCACTTTGCTCTACACCTGAAACTGACACAACATTGTAAATCAATTATACTCCCATAAAAAATTTTACAAAATACATTGATAAATAAACGTCACGCTAGCAGTATAGTGGTGATGCATGTGGGCTCTCTCGGTTAGCCTGAGTTCAAATCCTGACTCTACCACTTACCTCTAAGTTACCTAAACTCTTAAAATTTACCTAGGCTCTGAGTCCTGGGACTCTTCATCTGATAAATTGGGTTCATAATGGTTCCTGCCTCCTGGGGAGGGTCATGAGGATTAAACAAGATGACGCACATAAACTGTTCAGCACAGTTCTGGGTAATAGGATGTATTCAATAAACGGCTAACTACAATTATGATGCTAACTATAAATATGATTTGATTTTATTACTGTTACTGCTTCAAAAACACATCCTCTTATGTTTCGTAAAGCCCTCCGTTAGTGCTAATGATAAGGATTGTTCAGAGATTTCCTTCCATTCACGCTCAGGAGAATTCCTTTCTCATTTTTTTTAATGCCTCTTCCTCAAGCGCCTCCGTCTTCCCACCATCCAGACCGTAGACATTTGTCAGAGCCCAGTTGATTATTAATCAGATGGAGCCTAAAGAAAACACTGGGGATTCATTTTAATTGTGGTTTAAAGAGCTTTCCACACTACACTGCCTTATAAAAATGCCTAGAAGTTAAAAATCAAGTGCATTTGAATAAAATCTCCAGCTTTAGAGCTTTATGTACAGCAGTCTGGTAGTCTGTGAAGAAAAAAGAAGTTCAGTGATCAGGACTTTTCAGAAAAGAATCTGGTTTATACCAGATTTTTTTTTTTAGAGTCAGGATATGTAATCTGTCCTTTTTTTCACTTGTTCTTATAAATTGGAAGGAACATCAAAGCCAAACAACATTTGGAAGTGCTTTCGCCCTACCTTTTTAGAATGGTATCCCTAAAGAAACGGTCTTTTGTCATGAGAGAGACTTAGCATTTCTCTTTCAAAGGAAACCATCATTTTTCTAAGTAAACTCTACTGGTCTGATGCTCTTTTCTTTGCTTGAAACGCCTTTCCTCCGCCTGGCCGGGCGGGGTATTTGCAGTGCAGTGATCTTGTCTCTCTCTTTGTTCTCCCATCTGATGTGCCTTTGATAGCGGATGGTGTCTCGCTCTTTGGGAGCAAATCCAGACAACCTGAAGGACCCCATCAAAATTAGTATTCCACGCTATGTTCTCTGCGGCCAAGGGAAGGACGAACACTTCGAGTTTGAGGTCAAGGTAAGTGTCCCTTCTTTACTCTTCTGGAGGATGGAGCCTCGAGGCTCTGCAGTGCTGTCTTTTTTCTAAATGGAGCTAAAGCTACGTATGAACGTGTTGTTTTGTACGATACTGGTCATGCCCTTCTTTAAACCAGTATGTGAAAGTCTAGGCTGGAGCAAATGGAGGGAAGTTATCCCATAGAAGGTAGTGGTGGCTGGGGGGTCCGGCTGACACGGAAGTTACTGTCACCTACCAGCCCCACAGGTAAGGTCACCAGCCACCCCAAATTGCCCAGGATTTTCCTGCTTTCGGCACTGACAGTTCCACACCTCGGGAAACCATTTGGTGCCAGGCAAACCAGGACAGTTGGTCACCCTACCATGGGCTTAGGCTCAGTTTTTTAATCTATAGAAGTGGGAATAATAATATTTATGTCACAGGGATATTAAGTGTATATAAAGTGCTGACTCCAGTGTTTGGTAGATAATAAAGAATACATTATAGCTGTTGTTATTTCTACTGCTATTTTCATTGTTTTTGTTTCTGTTGTTCGTAATTAGGGAGCTTTCCTAACCTGTTTACACATTATTTGATTTATACAGCTTTTCAGGAAGAGATGTGCCTGTTTCCTTACCTCATACTTCCCCAAACACTTCCCCTTCATCGTATTTCTAATTGACTTCCATTGACTCATAACGCTTCGTTAAATACTGCTGGCCGCCATCCCCGCCTCGAGGAATTGACGGTTAATCACCTTTCTTCATTTTCGAGGGTAGGCGAGGGTGTTGTATGTTACCTCATTGGTAAGGTGAGGAAATTGGGCCTCACCAGTGGTTTCCAGATTTCTTTTTAGCTGAACCCTTTGGTCAGGGAGTCTCGTAGGAGGAAGAAGCAGATAAGCGTGGAGCTGCTTGCTGTGGGGGGAGGGAGGGGGGAGGGATCCTGAAGCCAGCGGGCCCCCCCCCGCCCCGTGCTTCCCCACTTCCTGGCTGCACCTCAGAGGAGCCTCTGGGCTCCGGTGAGGGGGGGATCCCTCCCCTTAGGCACAGGCGCTCCTTTTCAGTCTTCCTGGAGAAGCAATGCAAATAACTTTCCTGATTAATCGAGGTTTTAGATTCTTATTTCTGCCTACTGAGCCCCCCCCCTTTTTTTTTTTTTAACAAAACTTGCACATTAATGTATATATTTGAGGTTTCTGTTGAGAAGACATGATTCCTGTGTGCTAGTGTTGGTGGTTGAACTTGACTGGCCAGATTCTGCAATTTCTTATTAAAATGTTGCACCATGTCTGTGATCCAGTGTGCGTCTCCTCCTGACCTAATGCCTGATTCCTGCCCAGTTTCTTTTGTCAGCCATTTGAAACTGTGTGTGTGGAGAGTTCCATTTATACATATTTAGAGACAGTTTCCTAAGGCGTGTTTGTATTATTTCCGTATTTTTAAATTAGAGGGTAAAGACTGGCTTTCACCAGTTCAGAATTTGAATTCTTCAAAACATAGAACTCACAGCACTGGAGGACATGCAGTGATTTTAGTTGGTACATAGGTTTATTTTATTTCCATAGCTAAAGGTATTAATAAAGTATGACTATTAAATCGATTTCATGCATAGAACTTAAGTCATGAATAAAGAAGATACTTAATTTTTTTTAACTGAGTTGATTTAAATAAAAGTTGCAAGCAAATTATAGACCTGACCGTATGCAGATCTGGCTAAAATTGTGAAGATGCAACCGTAAAGGCAAGTTAGAGAAACCACATATGGGAACTGTCTGGCACCTTTCAGAATCTAGGCTGGCCCTCTCTGAACTGATCGAAGCCCTGTCTGAGAGCATGTCATTGTTCCGCTTCCTTCTGTTCTCATCCCAGGTATTGCCATCATTAGCACCAGGAATGGACTGTCAGCATTTGCCTGGAGAATTCCCGCTTCTCCGAGTAGGAAGGGCTGCCCTGTGCATTTACAGGGAGGAGGGCTGATGGTCTCACATTCCCGTGGCGGGTGGAGCACCCCGTCAACAGAAGCATCAGGGCCCAGTACTAGAAACAGAAACCCTGGGAATATACTGTCCCGCCCTTAACAAAATAGACAAAAATAGCCAAGCTCCAGCAGAAGCGTAGCTGTCTGAAAAGTGCCGGGGGAGTGTTACTCCTCCAGGTAACCTCACTGTGCCTCATCTGTGAAATGGGGCTGAGGAAAGCCGCAGGCTGGGTTCGTTTGAGGACTGTAGGAGCTTTTGTACGTGAAGTGCTTGGAACAGTGCCGGCCACGTCCTAAGTGCTGCATAAGGTGTCGGGACTGAGTGAGATTTTACCCTTGGAATCCCCTTAATGACGTTCAATGTGTTACTGTGTCTTTATGAGGATTTGGGGTTTTGTTTTGTCTTCTTCTTTGCTTTTTGGTTGTTTATTTCCTCTTAGTGTTCTGAGTTTAAAAATGAACTATGCCAGCCTTTTCCTTCCATCACTTTATTTCGTGCACAGGCAGTGTTTTCTAGAACAAGTAGTCACACTTAGGGTCATACTTTGGCTGCTACTGAATTCTCTTGGTGAGCCAATGTCTTTAAGAAGAGGAAGGTAAAAAGTATTATTTTTAGAAAAGTCTGTTCTGTTAGTCTCAGATCTTCTTTGAAGGAAAATATGATGATAAGGTATATAGATATTTTATATCTGGTTCATTTAAGGGGCTGAGCTGACTCGGGCACCCGCAGGTCCTGTTGGGTGCAAGTCCCCAGTGACTGAGGTGACAGGTCCCCAGGAGGACGCTGGCTTGTGGAGGGGTGGCATCCCCAGAGCGCTGTCTCTCAGCTTTTCCCTCACCCTTCGTGTTCCCTCTGCCTCCTGCCCTTCCCTACCCTGCCTGCTTTAGAATGAATTGATTAGTTATTTAGATCATTCCTTCTTCCTGTCCAATTTCATTTTAATCCCCAACCTGGTAGCTCCAGTCCTCCAGTCCGGTCTGTTCATTGCCAGAGGAAGCAGTCATGATCCTTGTTAAAGGGATGCTCGAGGTAGGCTGCAGGGAGGGGGTCTGGGGGGAGAGAGGGAGAGAAGAGCTGTTCCCAAGTGCTTGTCTTCTGATCCCCGATGAGTCCTGAGGAGGTTTCCATCGCTGGGCTTTAAAATGAGAAAAATAGAGTTTTTAATTCAAAAGGACTGTCTTTTATATCTTCTCTATTTGGGGGATTAAAAACAACTTTCTTTTGTGAACTAACTGTGAGAATGGGTAAGTGTAAGGTTTTTGGGCTTGGGTCATATTTAATATTTTAAATCGACTTCATTGAGACATAGTTTACATCCAGTGACATACACACATTTTAAGTACAGTCTGATGAGTTTTGACACATGTATACACCCCTGTAACCAGCACCCCAATCAAGATTTATGAACTTTTCAGTCATCCCAGAAAGTTTCTCCAGCACTGATCTGCTCTCTGTAACTACAGATCATGTGGATCTTTTCTGGCGTGTGGTGGGGATGGGACCTTGTGGCATTTACTCTCCTGGGTCTGGCTGCTTCCAATCCACATGCCTTTTGGAGATTCAACCATGTAGTTAAGTGTAACAGTAATTTGTTTCTTTTTATTGCTAAACAGCATCCACTGTGTGGATACATCACAGTTTGTGGGTTGGTGTCTGTTTCGATGTTTGCTTCTGACAATACAGAAAGCTATCATCTTAGTGTCACCTCCCCCTTTATTGACCCTGAAGGACTCATGTGAGAACCCCTGGGTCAGGGTATCTGTCCCTGTCGTTACCCTTGCAGTTATACCTGCCAGTGTCTCCCAGTAGCACAACCTTCTGGAACTGTGTACGCATTTATGTTGAGAGAGGTGCATCCCGCCAGCTGATGTCAGAGACAGACAGAAGAACTGAAGGTGTGCAGGCTGGCTCCTCTTGGAAAAGAGCACATTCTGTGCTGAATGTGGTTGAACATGGCCTGCTGGTCAGCAGAACATACCTGCACGGTCCGTGCTTGCGCAGAGCTATAGGCGTCACGAGTAATAACTCCACCTGGACCACAACGGTCGTCTTCAGACTCCTGCTTCCACTGCTTTTCAGTGGATACGTGAAATCAATTACCCTGCGTTATACTTGCCATCCTCAGTTAGCTAGGACCAGACTGGGTAGAATTTAATGTTTTTTTAAATTGCATTTCAGCATGACACAAAATCTGTGCTTATGGCTAACAGAGGGTGTCATACTCTGATGTCATAGAAATAAGCTGATGTCTCCAGCATAGTTTTAAATCCCCTACCTTTTAACTTACATGTTAAAATGATAATATAAAGAAATAATCTAACGCTGGTAATTTTTTTTTAACGTTTTGTTTCCTGAGAGTTTTCATCCCTCTAAAACCGGAAGTAATCTTCACAGGAGATTGTCTTCCTGTCTCCTCTGGCGAGTGTTGACATGTGCGCCAGTGCCACCCCCCCCCCCCCGCCCCGTTACCCGGTTTACTCCTGTCACAGCCACAGTCCCATTTTCTTTTCTTGGTCGTTGTCGTGTTTATCGCCGGTCTTTCCCGTAGGTGTCAGCTCCACGGGCCCTCGTCAGCCTGTGCAGCCGTGAGGCCCCAGCCCTTACACGGGCCGGGCTGGGAATGGGCCCCCGTACAGATGACTGTGATGTGACCCACACAAGGCTGGCCACAGGTGTTGTCATGGGGCAGAGCATGTTTGGGGCTTCAGGGGTTATGTGGCTGGGTGTCCTTTGTAATCAGCCTCTCGGGGGCCCCTCGTGCTCCATCTCTGTCAGCAGGTTCATCACTGATTCGCCCTCCCTTCCTCATCTGGGCCCCCGGGCACTCTTCAACCGCTGCTCCTGGAAGCCCATGTGGTAGTGTCGTCTCCTGTAGGGAGGCTGCTGGCACCTCGTATTGTTCAGGAGAGGACAGGTCCCCACCTTCTGTCACGTGGCTGCAGGAGCTCAGCCTCATGTCCACTCGCAGACCAGAGGGATGCGAGACTCCACGCTCTACCTGGAATACACGAC